CGGACTGAGGATCGGACGCAGACACAGTGGCAAGGCACAAAGTCGAAGTCTTGGATTCCCGAATGCCGAAAACAGCAAGTCACACTGAGTACGAGTACAGCAGCAAAGAACTGGTACGAGACTSGTCCCCGTACCGTACGGGGAGCCGRYATAAKTACYGGTGACACGTACGGTACYARGGGCATTTCTGCAAAGGCCCCGAGGGCAGAACTGAAAAATGCAGTATTTGAAAGTGGCGCCCGAATTGCAGCATGGCGCCAGTTGTCCAAAATCCTACGGTACCAAAGGAGGGGTTTCGAAAAAGGGTGCCAGGCCGAAAACGGGATGCAGCCGAAACAGCAAAAGATAGACCAGGGATCGAGCCCTGGCGAAGTCCGTAACACTATCCCCTCCCTCTAGAAGGCAACGTCCCGGCTGCCAAAAATCATGAAGCAATGCTGAAATCTGTGAAGGACGGGACGGGGCCGATCACTGGTTAACAAGTCGAAAGGGAAGAGGGGTATAATGTGGGTGGCATGGGCTGCGGGAGTAAGAGGGAACAGGGTTTGGTACCGGTGAATAGGGTTGTCCTACTGATGAACTAGGGGGGGTGCAAGGAACAGGGTAGTCCTACAAATGAACTAAAGGGAAGATAGGGAGCAGGGTTTTCCTGCTGATGAACTAAGGGGACTGCATGGTTCGCTATAGGTTAAGGGGAAACAGAGTTCAGGGAACAGGGAACTTCTATTGATGTTCTACTGGGTAAGGGAAACGGTGTTCAGGAAAACAGGGTATTTCTATTGATGTTGTAGTGGGTAAGGGAAACAATGGTCAGGGGAACAGGGGATGTCTATTGATGTTCTAGTGGGTAAGGGAAACAATGGTCAGGGGAACAGGGGATGTCTATTGATGTTCTAGTGGGTACAGGGGAACAATGGTTAGGGAAACAGGGATCTGCTAATGATGTTCTACAGGGTTGTCAAAGTCAGGAAAAATAAAAATGAAAATGTTTGTTCAGGGTGCGAAGGCTGGTGTGTCCGAAGGAGTCGGAAGCAGAATCTCATGTAGGAACAAAGTGTCCAAGTGTCTTGAAAGGGGGTCAGCAGCGGTCTTGATCAGGTCCTTGGAGTAGGTGGTAGAAGCGGTCTTCAGCAACTGCGATAGGTAGAAGTCCAAGAAGCGTAGTCGTAGTGTCAAAGTCCAAGTGCTAGGTTGCGTCCGGTACACGAACTGCAATGAGGTCTGATCTGGAAGCAAGGAAGTCGCAGACTGATGCAAAGATCCATGTCACAAGTTGCTGCTCCCGTAAGTCCGCGAGTCGSGATGCCGGCCAATGAAACARCATGGTGGCCAAAYCRGCTGCATAATCTCCATGAACAGTGAGGCAGCAGGCCATCGTCCTCGTGCGCTTGCCATTAGATCCTTTATCGCCGGCGGTACGCAAGTTCACAAGCATTGGACAAGAGAGACRAGGTAGTGGAGAGGACAGATGGGAMAAGGCTAGGCGAGGGCAAGGGCAGATCAGACATCAGGTATGAGGGTCAAGGGAAGGGTGGACTGGGTTCAAGGGTGTGTGTAGAGCAGGGTTGCAAGGGTTTTTAACGGGGTTTTATGCTATAGTGATATAGGTATCTAGGACGTAGGATTAGCACGATCATAGGCGCGGACAAGTTTCATGGCGTTCTTAAGATCAGAGAGAGGTTCCCATGTAAATTCTTCGTCGGGGTATCCGGTCCATTTGACTTTGTATTCAGTGATTGGTTCCGGATGATCAGATACCTGAGTGGTTCGTCGGCCGATGATGGTTTCGACAATGAATTCAGGGCC